ATCAGAAGTAGGCAATCTAATGGCTCTTCATTATAATTGTGATATATTTTTATTTGTAATTGTAATCAAATTTTTAATTCTTTGATGCCCCGAAAGACTAATTTTACTCAAAATCATAATTAGATCAATATTTTACCTAATGTCCCGCTATTTCACCTAATTTCACCTGATATCACGTTAACAAAAAAAAATTCAACCCGTAATCTTATGGCTACAAATTCAAAAATCTTACTACAAAGATAAAATATAGTAAATGAGCTGGTATAGATAAAAATATTAATGCACTTTAATTACAATGTGATTTTAAATACTAACTTAAACTTAAAAATGATATATTCTTTAGAAGTATTCAGAATATTTCTAAATATACATCATAATTTATATTTTAGAACCAATTCATCAGCACCATTATTAAATATGTCAATAAACACTCTTAATTTTCGAAGATTTAATCAACTAGTAATGCTATATATATATATATATATATATATATATATATATATATATATATATATATATTATTTATTTCGACTATAAGGCCTAAGTGATAATTATTTTCTTTATGCTCCTCCTTTCGACAAAAATTTTAAATGTTATTTGATGCATCATAGGTAATATATAGCGTACGGTGGAGACGCCATGTACTTTTGTGAAACGAATTGTATGAAATCTTTACCAAATGTAAATCTAATTTTAAGAATCACGATTACACTAATTATTCCTATCTACTTCTGTTGCTTTTTCGCAAACTTTTTCAACAATTTCACTATCTCTGCAAGTTAATTATGAAGCGATTTCTGCGCAAAATTACCATAGCTTAATTATGTGCGTCAATTAAGTTCAGCTCGTTTCGTAGCAATTTTTAAGTAAATATTAAACGCGCAAATGTTAACTTCACCCTCGACGAGTTGCCTAAGTTTTGACGTTTACCCTTAACCTAAAGCCGACCCGAATGCTTGGGGACCAAACACGATTATCTTTCGGTCACAGTCAGTTCATTTATCATTCAGTGTACCTTACTAGGTTATTACGATATTCCTACTAAAGGTTTGACATTATGAGGAAAGGACAATTTTATATATTACTTATGTTCTTTTACTATTATTAATATGTGTAGGGTCACAAAACATAAATCATGCTATAGATTATAAATGAACTCTTTCATGGTAGAATGCAAAACTAAAAATATAGATTGTGGTGCAATAATGTTTAGGTATTTGCAAATTGTTGTACAGGATAATGCCCATATTGCATACTGCATGAAGTATGTTAATTTCATATATAATTTTTAGAATTTCTTATTCATATTGAAAAACAAACGCTATAGAACGCTTGAATAGCATAATTCGTTTAGTATAATCTAGCCAATCATAGCAAAAGCTCTCACTTCAAGTTATATTGTATAGATACTATAATTCTTATTGTCCTTACTCTTCTCTCATACACTATACAAAAACGTCATCGAAAAAGAAAAAGTAAACCAAAAATGCAATGCGGAAAACAATACACATAAATTACAAAACAATATTTTCTGGGTGAAGGAGCAAAAATATAATTTCATTGTTCAAATACTTCATATTAGGTCTATTTCGTTTTGGACCTTCTGATATGTATGATATACAATAAAATGTTACCGCAACTGTTGGGCCACAATATCATTGTTTTCTGAGCTTACAGCTTTGTGCTTTGTGCGTCCTCATATATATCTAAAACGCTTAATAAATGCAAATTAGGCAATATATATACGGATCTCGTGTCTATACACTATATAAGCTAAAGCCATGTGCTTTTAAACATGAGTATCTTGAAAGGTTACTGTAACTTAGTAACGAATTCTTTGAAAAGGATTTTGAGAAAATCTCACAAAACTAGATTTTATGAAATGAAATATAATATTTAATATTGAATTCATCAGTCTTAATAATTTATGGCATTACAAATTCAAGTATTGTAGTAATAATATCATTGAATTTTACTTGAGCTTAAAATTGATTGCATTTTTGAATATCGTATTAGAATAAGGTACATAAATCACTTTGTAAATTATATTAATGAGCAAGAAATATTCATGATTATTCAATGATTTTAAAGTTACTCTTTATCAGATTAATAGCCTATAATAATCGTTTCACAATTTTGTATGTATATAAAAATATGAAACATTTATATGATATTTTATGTATGAATATCAGGATGATTTCTGACATGATGATCTAAGCAATCACTTAAATGTCTTCATTTATGATAAGCAATCTCAATTCATTTATGTTTCATATAAATTTATCTCATAAATTTCTCATACGCCTTGTATATCTAACGAAACGTGAAGAGTGTCGCATGCGATACAAACTTCTGTCAGATATTAAAAATGTAACGCGCAAGCAAAATATGACAGGTTGCAATAATATTAAAATATAAGTTTGTCTTATATTTTATATCGACTACCATAAAGTTTATAGTTTGCTATTGAAATATTTAATAGATACTGAGTGCATCCGTAAGACAATTTCTTGTTATATAAAATTCTGGATAGCTTGTTCACGGAAATGATATTTTTGTACTTTGGATTTTCAAAGATTCCTGATCGTTGAATACCTTTAAAAGAGTATTTAACTTGAAGATAAAAATGACGTAAGATTAAGACCTCTTGATTATTATAAGATTCAAGATTAAGAACTAATTCGTAACTAAAGTGAAATAATCAATGTATGTCCTTGATTTACCATACTTTCTTAACCCTAAACTAAAACTCCTTATAGACTTTAAAATCTAAAGCATGGCAATATATAATAAAGCTAACAGATAACGAATTCTAAAACAAGCTCAATCTCTCCAAAAAGATTATATTATTTGAAACCACCGAAGTGCATCGAACTAATACTTCTCAAGATCTAATTAAAATCACGATATTAGGTTCGAAGCCATTAAAGCGTTATGAAGCCCACAGGACGTGTATAAACGCTGATGCCATCAGATGTAATGATTAGCTATACTCAATAAATTATGCAATTAAGATTTATACAGCAGATAAATATTTGCATAGCCCGCAACAAATTACTGCGAAATTGGCACATATACCACACGCGGTAATGGAAATGAATCGGTAGCAAGGGAAATTCAGATAGCTAATGAGATAAACTAATTGAGTGCGCAAGCGATTTATATTATAAAACATTCAGTGCTTTAAAATCCATATTATTTAGAAATAATGATAAAAAGTGTTGTATTACTTAGGAATAAATATTATTTATTTTACTTTAGAGTAAACATAATGTGATTTTTAAATATTTTTCAAATACATTAAGCAGTTTCTGAGCACTAAAGGGAAGAATAAACCTCAGTCTTCATAATATTATGCACTTATGTCTACTTTATTAAACTATTTTCTCTATATAGACGCACGGTGATTTTCAGAGACAGAAACTCATCTTTAGTTATTGTAATTAAATTAATTTTATCTTTATTTATTATATTTAATTTGTAGTTAATTTTAGGGAAAATTTATATAAATTTATTTACTATAACTTGTTTTTTTTTTGTTATATTTATTTTTGTAAATCAAGACTTAGTCTTATTTACAAAATTGATATGTGCAAAAAAAAGAAATAATTCAAAAGAAATACAATAAATTGAATATAAAATAAAAAGTTAAAGTAAAATAAAATAAAAACAGTAATACAAAAATAATAACATAAACGAACTATGATGTGATGATGTATGCCGCGTACTAAGCCAGGACGCGTGCAGACATTGGGCTAGGTGATTTACGATTATTCATAAAAAACTAGTGGGGTGTATGGCATCGTGCCTTAAGGCAAATTGCTGGAACTCCCCGTACCATAACGAAATCTAATCGAGGAATATTAAATGTTTTACAAAGCTAATAACCACTTCTCACAATCATTACTAATTGAATGTTTTTTAGATCATTCAAATCGGATGCCCCATTCTCTCAAAAGCTCGATTTCTATTTTCTCCACTCTTTGCTCTTTATCTCCGTAACTGCTGGACCTGCCATTGCCAAAAACTAATCAGCACATCTCCCTAACAATAAGAATCGAATGTTTTTTGAACCATTTAAATCGGTTGATCCGGCCGAAAAGGCCGAAAATTTGTATCCATACATACATACACACCATACCCATCATTTTTTTCTCAGGTATGCCAAAATGTTCACAAACCTTCAAAACGTCGAGAAATGCAAAAATTTTCAATTTCGATTTTTGGACGATTACAATAACTTACCCTACGGGAGGTTAATAATATGGTAAAACCTGGTGCTTAAAGGTCCGCGGGCAAAACGCCTACCACCGATAACCCAGAAACAAGTAAAGTTAAGAACTTTTAAACAATAATATTTGAAGGTAAAGAGAAAAACATGTATAACCATCCATCACCTTGATTCTTTCGACGTTCCTATCGGGAGGTGAAGAAGAAATATTTTCTTTCTTTGTTAGTTTTTTTTATTATGGTCATTGTTGATTAGTTTACGATACCTTAATATAATTTTTAAGTATACGTCATTTATTGTTGATTTTACGTTAGACACAATAGTTTTTTCATATAACTTTTATAAAAGCTTACATCTGGGTGGGTAACCTTAACCTTAGTAAAAACAGCTAAAAAACAACACGTTTATTCAATTATGAATTAGATGTGAGTGTTACTGAACATAGTCAGTTAGTTGTTTGTTTGATATATCTTATTTGTTGTGATATAGTTGTTTTTGTTTTTACAATATAATTGCCCCAAGTGAAATTAAGCGTTTGTGACCCTTTGAAGAAATTTCTACATATTTTTTTAAACCGATTAAATATTGGTTTGTCTATGCTGTATCAAATAAACAATATTTTGCTATTCCCCTTATGTTTTAAGCATAACATTTCCATTATATATTTATCTTAATGTTTGTTATACAAGAATCGTATACTACTAACCTCGTCATAGATGTATCCATCAATCTCTCCAACGGCCTCCCATACAATGCAGGTGGAACCGGTTCATATCGGTTCGGTAATTCTGCTCCATCCGGAACACTCCGCTTCCTTCGTGGTTGAAAAACCGTATTCTCTTACAAGTCTCGCATTTCCCGCCGCTTTCGGATCATCCGGCGGCCGACTTAACGATTGTTTGCTGAACGGTCGCACCGATTTCGAAGACGTACTCGGTACAGCAGGCGGAGGCTGTACTGCCGACGTTTCGGCCTGACCCGGCGGCGAACTAACTGCATCGTCTGACGGCGTTGGAACCGCGGATGCCGGTGAAACCGAGGGTGTCGATCGGGTCGCCGCATTGTTTGGTCGCAGCGTCCGCGGCGGGGGAGGCGGTGGTTCTCCGTTTGATAAATGCGTCTGACCGCTAACACCGGGCGTTGTCATGACGCCTGAAAAAAAAAAAAAAATATATAACATATATGTTAGAATTTTTAATTACTAATTAATAAATTAATTTATTGCAACTGTTAAATAATTTAACATCTAGTAATAATAATGAACAATAACATAAATTGAAATATAAAAGAATACAAAATAAAGGATAGTATTTACATTAAAATTATATCCGTAGTATGATGATTTAATATGAAATGAAAGCAAATAATAATAATAACAAAATTACTAAATAAAATAAATGAAATTTCTGAATAATAAAAAAATAAAGTGGAATAAAAACAAGAAGTGACAGATAATAATAAATATAACAAAATAACAATATTAGAAATAATCTTCTATATATATATATAAAAATAAGTCGGGTTTTCCTTCCTGACGAAATAACTCGCGAACCGATTTCGACAATTTTGCATTTGTTGGAAAGATCTCGGGCTCCCCAAGGTTTATAGCTAAGAAAATTAGTTGTGCACGGCATCGTGCCTTAATGCAAGCTGCTGGAACTTCACGCACCGTAATTAAAAATTCGAGTAATGACATTAGTAAGAATTATCAGAATTATGCTTGGTTAAGTCAACGAGCAATTCTTGCCGCAAAGAATAATGATGTTCACGCACTAAATTTCACAATTCAATCAAAAATTGCTGGCGATTTGGTGACATACCAATGATTCCGACTGGTCTTCCGTTTGACTTCAAACGATTGCAATTTCCAGTTTGCCTTGCGTTCTGAATAACAAGTCTCAAGGCCAATTGCTTAGTGTTTGCAAGATAAATTTCAAATAGATTATTTAGAAAATCATTGTTTTTCACATGGGCAGTTATACGTTGCCTGTTCACGAGTTGGAAAACCATCTGCTTTGTTTGTGTTAACGTCAGACCAAAAAACAAAAAATGTGGTTTACCAAAGAGCACTTCAATGAAACGAATAATTTGCGGAATCACTTACATTTACTTAGAGAAGTTCAACTAAAAACACTTCATTTTTGTAATCGAAATAAATTCATTACTGTTGTATAATAAAATCAATTTTTTTCTTTTCAAATATAAAACAAACAAAAGATTTCTTTATCTTTCTCACGAAACCTGGTGGCAAAACGGAGTTTGTCGGGTTTGCTAGTAATATAATAATAATATTATTATTAATGTTAGCGTTTACAAATAGCTATCTATGAGATGATTGGGAATTTTTCGTTTTAGTCTGGTTGGATGCGCTTCTGAAAACACTTTCTGTGCCAAGTAATTCGGGTGTTCGTCAATTCTTCTCTTATAGTTTTCTGATTATTGTTGAATATTTATTTTAAAAGCGTTCTGTTTTCAGAGAAATTAGTTAATACTAATATAGATATATAGTGTAACATAGTAGTATTTTAGTAGTACTATGTTAGATATATGTTACACATAGTAGTATTTTAGGAGCTAATTCTCGAATAAAATAGATATAATATGGTAGTGCTATGTTACAGGTCTATAATCGTATGAACTGGTAGTCACAAACTATCAAAACTGTATGTATTTGCTACGCACTCAGGCGTTTTAAACATAAAACTAATGGGGTGTATGGCATAGTACCTTAAGGCAAATTGCTGGAACTTCCCGTATCGTAACGAAATGTTCGAGGAATACTGAATGCTTTCAAATAGATTATTATAAATATTGTAACATTGTCTAATATTTATAAGAATTATCTAAACTGAATTGCAAATTTAAAATTATTAGTTTAAGTTATATTAGAACTTTAGTCAGAATAAAAATAAAATCTGAATTATTTTCGATATACAAAAAAAAAACTAAATATATATATATATATATATATATACAAATTTTTTTTTCAAAATCAATTATTTTGTTAAGGCAAAACTGCCATTTTTACATATTTAGCTCCGTATCTTCGAAATGGCTGGGCCTGCCTTTGCCAAAAACTAATAAACACTTCTCCCAATCATTACTAATTGAATGATTTTTTAGATCATTCAAAACGGATACTCCGTTCTCTCAAAAAGTCGATTTATATTTTCTGCACTTTTTGATCCGTATCTCCGAAACGGCTGGACCTGCCTTTGCCAAAAACTAATCAGCTCTTTTCCCTATCAATAGAAATCGAATATTCTTTGAACCATTCAAATCGGTTGATCCGTGCGCCCGAAAACGTGACTGAAAATTTGTATCTATACATAACTTTCGACAGTTGGACTACCAACTCGTAGACGCTTAGCATAGCCTTAACACAACATATTTATTTTACCCAAGAATTGAGGCCAATTCTTTATTATATTATTCAAAACTTTATGAATTAACTTTAATTATCAATATGATGGAATAGAATTTGATAAAATAAGCTGAAGCAATGTATATCTATCAATAGAAAATATTTCAAAAAAATAATATTAAATCTAATATTTATAACGGTAATTATAATCGTATCAAAATATAAAAAGATAAAAGTTGCAATCCAAACATTTTGCTCTTAATATTATATGATTATGATTAATATTATATTAATATTATATGATCGGAAATTTTGCAAGACATGATATGCAACACATAGTAACGTATCGTGCACATCGCTTGATTAAAGTCAATGTTTATTTCAGTCATGGGCTATATTTGATTTTCTATGATCAGCAAAAAAAAAGTATTTCAGTGATGTAACATTTTGTTCTTAATATTATATGATGTGCAGTATCGGCAATTTTGCAAAATATGATATGCAACACATAGTAACGTATCGTGCACATCGTTTGATTAAAGTCAATGTTTATTTCATTCTGGGGCTATGTTTGATTTTCTATGATCAAGAAAGAAACAGTATGAATTTCAGTTATTTTTCTTGGGATATGTACAGCAAAGCATATTGAATCAAACCAGCAAATGTGATACGATAGAAAGATATATTAGACTAGCAGAAATGTTTCGAGATTCATTTTTATTTAAATTATTTTATATATCGTTTCATGTAAAGATAATAATATTATAAATTAAAAATCTGCTACAATTTGATGGAAAAAATTACAAGATGAAATGTTAGCTAACTCATCACTTTATTTATGATTAAAGTATAATTTATTAATAACTCGATCTTTTCAACTTGAAATTGTATTGTTCAAAGTTATGTGAAGACTTAATATCTTTCTCTATGATATGTAAATAATTAAATGAAGAATTTGTATACAATTTGGATATGTATGTGTTTGTGTTCATGTTTGCACATATAAATATATATTTAACAGGTCGAATGTGTAAAATGTACTTCCACGCTACGTGAAAAGCGTCCTGATATATATTCAGATGGCAAACTTTGTGATTATTCATACAATTCCGCCGCCGCAGTCGCGTTGTCGACTATATGGATTTTACGCAACAATTTTCCATTACACGACATAATATTTCACATTCACAAGGACATAAACAACGGCCGTGATCACACATCCAAATATATACATATATATTCATATATACATATATGTATATATACACCTGTGTATGTACAATACATATGTATAATGGAGTGGTCAGTTAAAGACTGCTCGATGATTTGAATTAAAGGCCACATTAATAGCAGGAAAATTTATGCTCTATTTTCTGTTACATCAAACGCTTTTAGGAGTGTATAATTAATATAATATCCAAAATGAATGTGGATATATGCAATGCCAAAGCTTTTCACTTTGTGAGAAAATTTGTAATTTAAAGTATTTTTATGCTGTGATCGTAGAAATGTTATTCACAGATACAGTTCCGAAGATTAAATTTCAAAATGTATAAAATTTAACTATACTAACAAAAGAAATGATCATAATTTGACGAAAACTCTAGGTTGCACCTGAAAGCTCATAATTTCCAAACTGCGTGAGATAATATGATTTTCTTTTTTTTCAGGACAGCTCAGGTCTATACTACCACTCCGAATTGGCTTCTTGTCAAGGTCTGGGGCACCCTGTATATATATATATATATATATATATATATATATATATATATATATATCTTAATTGCAATTATGTAATCTGTTCCTATCGAGCAAACTCTAGAACAGTGTCTGTGTAATCGAATAACCAGAGGCTAAAAAGACTTTTTTCACAAGAGAATTAAAAAACTTTTAAGTTTGCACGCTCTGATTGATGAAGATTATTCAACGTCGAGATAACGCCAATGTTAATTTCAAAATGGGAAGAGCACAACCTTTTTTAATTAATTGCATAAATTCATGGTTCGGAAAACAAGCCTTGGAAAAAGTTTATAATTAAGCGTAAGTATAAATATCAAATACATTTTCTGTAACTTTGATTGAAATATAGAATGTAACAGTATTTTATCTCATTGGCAGAGTATGTTAATAATCCTAATTCATTTATATATATATATATATATATATATATTTACATATGTTCTCAAAATATGCTTGGCCAATAAAGCATCATATAACGGGTGGTCCAGGGTGGCCCATTTAAAAATTGGAATTTGTCGATAGCAACTTGCATGTAGGCCTTGCGATATATGGGGGAAAAATAAGAATTTTGAGACCTTTCTAACGATGTATAATACTTCATGTTTATAAAGTTACAAAGACAAAGTACTATCTACTAGTTTCAAGATTATTTCTGTATTCATTTACAAATATTTAAACATTATAGCTGCATTAGAGAAAAGTAGAGAGAAAAATGTGACTATATATATTTCTACCAAAAAACGTTGATCGCCTTGGTCATTAAATCGGCATGAGTCGAACGCGACACCTTTGAAAAGCTCGCAACGGGCCATCATCAAAATTCCATTCATCGGAAGCACGCGTCAATCAAGTAGTCATGTTTCACCGATTTCGTAAAATATGTACTAGTGACATATTTCTGTATGTATCACATTTTGTAAAAAGATATAAATATATGCATTTATATAGAAAGAAAAATATAATTCAGAAAATATGTAATGGAACTCGTCATTGACAAATCGAAAGTGATGAGAATATCGAAACGAGATGAGCCCCTGAAGTAG